AGGGAGCCCGACGCGGGACTCGATCCCGGGACTCCAGGATCATGACCTGAGCCGAAGGCAGTCGCTTAACCGACTGAGCCACCCAGGCGCCCGCCCCTATACCTATTCTTAATAACACAATTCTCATCACTGCTGAAAAGTTTTTTCTAAGATCAAAATTCATGTGTGCCAAGGAACTCAGCCTTCTCAATGACATGTTGTCAGCACTGTAAGCATCTAATTTTATCTTACAGAAATCTCTTATCAGAGTGATAAGACACTAGTGTTCTTCAAATATTTTATCTGACTAAAGCAATAATTAGACATAATAGAGAAAACTCTAATTAGGGCCTCGGCAAAGTAAGAGAGAATACAACACCTGTCAATATAATTTAAAGGTCCACTCTGGCAAAGAAGCATACCAACTAGTATCTCATTGATCTCTACGAATATTTTGAGGATTATCCCCCAAATAGTTCTAAGCTATGATGCCTTTTCTTTAGAGAAAGGTTCTCTCATAAGAAATCTCCAGTAGTTAGCATATCGTAACAGAAATATACTACCATCTTTGTGCTTGTCTATTTTAAAAAAGGGGTGGGGAGCACCTGGGTGGCTCAGTCAGTTAAGCATCTGCCTTCAGCTTGGGTCATGATCCCAGGGTCCTGGGATCAAGCCCCGTGTGTCTGGCTCCCTGTTTGGTGAGGAGTCTACTTCTCCCTCTCCCTCTGCCCCCCCCACTTGTGCACACACTCTAATAAATAAAATCTTTAAAAGTAAATAAATAAATAAATAACCAAGTAGTAAATATTTTTAAAGCTCTGCCTAAATTATACAGATCCCATCTAACAAGCACAAGTGCCACATGATAGGGTTCTGAGCAAATGGAGACCTTTTTCTCAAATATCCCTTTCTCTTTTTATATTCATCGATTTGTATATGTTTGTGTTTTTAAGTAATCTCTACCCCCAACGTGGGGCTGAAACTCACAACTCCAAGATCGAGAGTAGCATGTTCTACTGACTGAGCCAGCCAGGCGCCCCTTGGGTTGTTTTTTAATTAAGATCAACCCCATGTGCATATAGGCAGGGTTTATCTTCCTTTCTACCTGGCAAAAGGGCCTAAGAAACCAACATAAATCAGCTTTAAAGAATGAGGGGAAGGGAATTCACATTTTGCATTCCCTCTCTCCCATCTAGCTTCAAGGACAGAAATGCAAAAACGCTGGGAATTTTTTTTAAAACATAAGATTATTCTAATGAGATTGGATGAGGACACTTTAAGAGGCTAGAGAAAGAAAAGTGACAAAGCACTAAATTGATTCTCCACTCATTATTGGCACCACTAGAACATTTCATGTAGCCCATTAGCCGTGACAACACATTATGTTTGATTTGTCAACTACACCCCATAATTAAAGGGCTGTCAGTGTTATCATTACAAATGTCACTAAGTTTAACTGTAAATAGCAGTAAAACCAGTAAGCAAGTACCTTAGTTGAGAGCTTACTTCCTCTAATACTCCCTAAAATACACCCAGTTAAGTAACAATAATATGAAACATGCTTCACTTACTCATATAAAGCAGTTTCTATAAAAAAAAATCATTAAAGGGGCGCCTGGGTGGCTCAGTCGTTAAGCGTCTGCCTTCGGCTCAGGTCATGATCCCAGGGTCCTGGGATCGAGTCCCACATAGGGCTCCCTGCTTGGCAGGAAGCCTGCTTCTCCCTCTCCCACTCCCCCTGCTTGTGTTCCTGCTCTCGCTATCTCTCTCTCTGTCAAATAAATAAATAAAATCTTAAAAAAAAAATCATTAAAATAATTATTTAGAACTGTCTGAACTTCAAAGTGACAACTGAAACCACCGTTAGTCTTTTCCAATATGCCTCTGAGTTGCAAGAACATTAGTCAAAAGATTTGAAAGGTCTTATTTTGGGGACAACCTCTTATAAAGTATTCCAGGGGCACCTGGGTGGCTCAGTCAGGTGAGCATCTGACTCTTGGTTTCGGCTCAGGTCATGACCTCAGGGTCATGAGATCAAGCCCCTCATAAGGTTCCCCACTCAGCACAGAGTCTGCCTGAGATTCTTTCTCTCTTCTCCCTCTGCCCCTCCCCCCACACTCGCACTCTCTCTTTCTCACTCTAAAATAAATAAATAAATAAAATCTATAAAGTATTCCAAACCTTCTTCACTTAGCAAAAGTAGATTAACAATCCACTTAAAATCTCTGGAAAAAGCAAAGAAATTCCAAGCTTAATTCTAAATGTCCTTCTTGTTTAAGTTGGACCTTTAGTTTTATCTGATCACAGCTATTTAAAACGAAAGTATAGATTTAAAGGTGTAGAATAAATCCCAGACCTACCATTATCTTTGACAAACTGGTTCAAGTTAAAGCTTTAGTTCATTTCTATCTCATAAAGGTGTTTACCAACATTATTAATTCAAACAAACTACAGTCAATCCACAGTTCATTTTCTCACCCATGCCATCTGTCAAAACAAACTGATTTCTCATCTGCCCACTGGAGAACATATTCACAATACAGGAAAAAGAACTCGCAGTCAGCCTAGTTTCAGAAGTTAAAATTTTGTTTTTTTATTTTTAAACACAGGGTCACGTTTTATACATGTTTATATGTATCCCCAGTGATTTCCAGCCAGGGCACCTTAAAGTCCTTTAGAAATGGGAATGAAAGCAAATTATTACCATACCATTCTATTAAAATACATTTTTAAAAAACATAATGCTTGGCTATTTAGTTTTTGTGTTTTCACCAAAATGGACGTGAGGAAACTTTGTGGATCAGATATGAGACAACTGCCTTACCAACAGGACATTTATTTTCTTTGCATGAACTGCCTTCCCAACTACTGACCAATGCATAAAGACTACAGAACTACCTCTCAATAAAAAATAGGAACATAACCTTGTACCAATATCTTATTACTTTCTTCCTAAACAACTACTTAAAAACTCTCCAGTTCTCTTCCTACAACACTGTCTTCCCACGATTAAATCGAAGAACTCTAAGACACCTAAGACTACAAGGTCATTTCATTACATGCTCTTGTGGTTTAGACAACTATTTAGGCAAGAAGGTACAAAATTTTACCTAACCTGAGGCTCCTGTTTCCAATAAATGAAACAGTGTATTTAGGGACTAAGGAGGAATTTAAAATAATTCCAATCACTTCATGTTCAAACTGAAAACCTTCTTAGAACCTACCACAAAGTATCAGAAACTATGCCTTCTCCCTCTCCCTTAACCGCTTCTCCAGCCTTTCTGTCCCCTATAGGTTATCCACGAAATAGTAACTAATTAGTACTTGCAAAATCAGACAGAATACAGCTGACCCTCAAACAACACAGGTTTGAACTGTGTGGGTCCACTTACATGCAGATTTTTTTCCAATAAACACAGTATAGTACTATAAATGTATTTTCTCTTATTTTTAAATAAAATTTTCTTTTCTCTAGCTAACTTTATTGTAAGAATATAGTATATAATACATGTAACATACAAAATATGTGTTAATGGCCTGTTTATGCTATTGGTAAGGTTTCTGGTTAACAGTAGGCTATTAGTAGTTAAGTTTTTGGAAAGTCAAAGTTATATGTGGATTTCTGACTATGTGGGGGTTGGTGTCCCTAACCCCACATTCAAGGGCCAACTGTATTTCCATGTGACTTAAGAATTTCTGATGGAAATTACTTTCAGTTAGATTCAAACCAGTAGCCTAGATACAAAAGCTAAATATTGCAATAATTTCCTAGAGAAAATAAAATACAAATTTCCATTTTCTTGAAGTAAGTGTACATTCAATTTTGCTTTTCATTTGTTGAAAATACTCTGCATATATAAACTTCAAGGGCACAAATGGACAAAACCGCCAATCCAAAAATTTTTAAGATTGTTATCAACACTGTATCTCCTATAAGCTTCAAAAGCATACTACTGAGTGCCCAGTTTTAAAAATAGTTAAGTTTAAAAGGTACTAGTTGTTTGTAGTGAAAAATTAAAACACTACACACTCACTAGAACGTGGATTCCTTCTTTTTCAACTGGAGCTTTATCATACGTAGCATCACAAACTCGAACCAAAGTTGTCACTCCATACTTCTTAAGTTCCTTTAAAGAAGAATATAAGGGAACATACTTTTAGAATCTGCAACCAAAACTTTGAAAATGTACTATTATAAACTGAAGCAATAAGACATCATTCTTAGACAAAGATAAAAGTCGTTCTCATGGGGCGCCTGGGTGGCTCAGTTGGTTAAGCAACTGCCTTCGGCTCAGGTCATGATCCTGGAGTCCCGGGATCTAGTCCCGCATCAGGCTCCCTGCTCAGCAGGGAGTCTGCTTCTCCCTCTCCTGCTCCCCGCTCCTGTGATCTCTCTCTCTCAAATAAATAAATAAAATCTTTAAAAAAAAATCATTCTCATGGTGGCAACATATAGAATGGACACTCAAGCTCTTAGTGGAAGCATCAACACAATTACCTTTATAAAGGACAATTTGGTAACATACCACAAAAACTATAAAAGCACATATAAACTTTGACCTAGAAATTCTACTTCTGAGAATTTATACTAACAAAGTAATTAAAGATATACCCAAAGATTTAGGTACCAGTGTGTTCAGCATGGGCTGCGTGGAATGGTAAAAAGATGGAAACAAGAATGGTCCAAAAGAGGGGAACAGTTACAGAGTATGGCACATCCATACAGGATACTAGGACAGCTATAAAAATAATATTAAAAAGGTTGGGGGAAGATTTTTTTAAATATAGTGTGATCCTGGGGCGCCTGGATGGTTGTCATTAAGCATCTGCCTTTGGCTCAGGTCATGATCCCAGGGTCCTGGGATTGAGCCCCGCATCAGGCTCCCTGCTCCGTGGGGAGCCTGCTTCTCCCTCTCCCACTCCCCCTGCATGTGTTCCCTCTCTTGCTGTGTCTCTGTCAAACAAATAAATAAAAATCTTTAAAAAATATATAGAGAGAGTGTGATCCTATCTATATGAATATAAATAAATATACACATATATGCAGAGAAAAACATCCAGAAGCCAGGTATTAAGAGTTAAGAATTTTCAAATTGTCTTTTGTTTATGTGTATCTTCTGATTTTTACACAGTAAGTACTTATTGCTTTTTTAATTTAAAGAAACAAAAGTAGGGCGCCTGGCTGTCTCAGTCAGTGGAGCATGCAACTCTTGATCTTGAGGTTTTAAAGTTCAAGCCCCACAATGGGTATAAAGGTTACTTAAAAATCTTTAAAAAAATAAGATAAAATGAAAGAAACAAAAGTAATCTTGAAATTAAGATTAAAAAGTGGTATATTACAAAGCCAACAAACATACCATTACAACAGCCAGAAGCCTTGCTCCTTTAAAAATTTTCCTACCGTAATGCCTAATCCAGTGACCACCTATCTTCAATGGGCCACCAACATCTTTTTATAGTTGCAGGACAGTGGCCTCTGCCACTTTTGGAGTCTATGACCAAGGAATCCACAGGCTGAAAATAGTATCACATAATTCAACCAGGCTTAAAGATGACTGAACAACCTAAGGGCACACAGGCCTGGAATCAACTTGTACACTGTGTACACAAAGTTAAGAAGCTCTGGGAATTAGAAGTATAAAGAGCAGGAATAGTGACATCCTACAAGAAGTGTCCATCCATCATTTGATTATCTAAAGAGTAAAGTTATTTTAATTGCTAAAGAACTTTGTTTTTCACAGAAAGGCCTTCTTCTAAAACAGACTCAGGAAAGTTGTTAGTATTACATGCAGTCAGTAATTTTAAAACATTTCAAAATACAGATAAAATCCTATTAAAATGAACTCCATAGCTGCCATTCACGGAAAGGTTATAGAAATTTTTATAGTAGGGCGCCTGGGTGGCTCAGTTGGTTAAGCAACTGCCTTCGGCTCAGGTCATGATCCTGGAGTCCCGGGATCGAGTCCCACATCAGGCTCCCTGCTCAGCAGGGAGTCTGCTTCTCCCTCTGACCCTCCTCCCTCTCATGCTCTCTGTCTCTCATTCTCTGTCTCGCAAATAAATAAAATCTTAAAAAAAAAAATTTAAAAAAGAAATTTTTATAGTAAATATTTGTGTCCTTAAGCAAGTCAAAACCTTCTGAACTCAGTTTTGCCATCTGTAAAATGTGAGGGGTAGATTAATAATCCCTAGGAGTTCATTCAGCTAAGTCTACTCCATAAATATAGCAGAGAAAATGAAGGATCTGACATAAAAATGTTACCTATAAAACAATGAATCATGGAACACTACATCAAAAACTAATGATGTAATGTATGGTGATTAACATAACAATAAAACAGTTAAAAAAAAATGTTACCTATAATACCTTTCCTCCCTGTAAGGTTCTGACTCTTGTATATGATGGTTACTATTGCTAAGTAGTTCTGGAGTAGGTTTTTATCAAAACTGGCTAGAATATTTGAGGCAGACACGGGTTTTTGAGTCAAGAGACAGTTCTACCAGATGCTGTGTACCTTTAGGCAAATTACTAAATTACCAAATTGCCCTGAAACTCAGTTTCCTCATCTGTAGGAGGGATATAATACCAGTACCTATACCGCATAGGGCTATTTTCAGTAGTAAATGATACAATGCATAAAACTGCTTATTGTAATGGTGGATACATATACTAAGAGTTCAATAAATGTTAATTATTTTTATTATTTAAAATATGAACTGCTAACTATGTAGAAAGGATATAAAAAAAAAACCTACTAGATAATCTCTAAGGTCTCCCCAAATTCCATAAATGTTCTTTTAAAAATCTGTTGTAACTAATTCAACCCAATTCAAAGATTGGTAGAATGACCATCCATATTCCAAACATGAAATAAATGGCCTTGTGTTAAGAGATTGCTTCATAATACTGTTCATTTGTAACTTTACCTATAAATCAATCCAAAAAGTAGACCATACTACAATCTTACCTCTGTGAACTTGTTGAGGGTAGCATTGGTAGGGTTGTGAGTTATCAGAAAACGCATATTCTCATAGGAGATCTCCACAGGGGCTGGACGGTTCATTATGGCAAATAAAAAGTGTGAGCGTGCGTGTGTGGGTGTGATGGGGAAAATGAAAAAAAAAATCAATAAATCTTGAAATGTTTCACAGCAGAAAACATTAAAAAGACCACTAAAATGCCTAATATTGATCAGTGTTTTCTCTATTCAACTTGTTTATTCTTTAAGAAGCTTCTCTCTTCAAGGTAAGCAGAAGTATTTAGAATCCACTTGAATCCAAATTCAACTTGGGCCTCAATGTCTGCAGATGGATACCTTCAGACTCCAAAAAAATCCAACTACATACAAAACTTAAGTAGCCTTTACTACATTTAGGCACTAGTGAGACAAGTTAAAAGTGTAGGTTGCTTTCCACTTTTGTTTACTTGATGCTTAATTTTACTGGAGTCATTAAAAGAAATATGCTTGCAATAAAAAAAAAAAAAAGCCAACTATTTCTGAGGCCAGTCTCGGTGTCCAGAGTCTTCAAGGCAATGTTAATTATGGCACATAGAACCCCCAAGCTCACTTGTCAGCGAAAACGCTGTGCTGAGCCTGGCAGAAGTCTGCCCTCACGCTCAGAATCGCCATAAATGTGCAACGTATATTCCAACGAAAAACCTAGAGGAGAAAAACATAAGTAAAATGAACTGGAGATTGACAGCACAGTAAACATGATGCTCAAAGTCAAGAATACGTTCTCTGTGAGTCCAAAGACATCTGAAATGCCACCAATTCTAAATTACTGTCATCTACAAAGACTAGGATAAAAATGTATACCAAGAGTTTTAAGTCAGAAAATTCAAAAATATGTCTTTCCTTTTTCAAAAGGGGGTTCAACAAAATTTGTTAGGTTATTTGTAACAAGTCATTTTTTTTTTTAAAGATTTTATTTATTCATTTGAGACACACAGAGAGAGAGAGAGAGAGAAAGCATGAGCAGGGAGAGAGGCAGAGGGAGAGGGAGAAGCAGGTTCCCCGCTGAGCCAGGAGCCCGATGTGGAGCTCGATCCCAGGACCCTGGGATCATGACCTGAGCCAAAGGCAGACACTTAACCATCTGAGCCACCCAGATGCCCCATTCAAGTCATTTTTAAGTGACCAGTTTACCTTTTTACTATTTCTCACATCACATCACTATCTCAAGAGTACAAAAGCATCTAAAGGTCACTGATTCACACAACATTCTCCTACCCATACCAAAAACAAGATGAGAAAGAAAAGTGGCAGAATTTTTAATATTATTTTGGGCTTGCTGTACTGAAACACAGTAATCTTTATAGTTAGCTCAGTCAGAGTATCAACATAATCATAAATTGCTCTGGGGGCACCTAGCTGGCTCAGTCAGTAGAGCAAGCGACTCTTGATCTTGTGGTCATGAGTTCAAGCCCCATGTTGGGTGCAGAGATTACATAAATACATAAATCTTCATAAATAAATAGATAGCTCTGGAAATAGGGACAAGGTCTAAGTTCTTTCACTTGCCTCTTCTCTAATGCACCAATAAATGCTTATTTAGTAGTCTCTGAAAAGATGATTGTGACCAGATAGAAAAAGACATGAAAGATAAGTACCACAGAACCATTTCAGGAGGAAACTAAAATACAATTAAGAACGAACCAAGGCTTACAAACTTTCAAACCTATTCTATCCACAAGTCTTTTTATGATATTCTCATGGCACTGTATTTTTAAAGTTACATACTTGTGCCAATATTACCATGGACACAAGCACAAAACTCAAACGTTCCTAAAATATGAAAGATACATAAGAAATTCGAAATTCAAAATGGCATTCTAAGAACTTCAAAACCTCAGCAGAAGTTATACACTACAGTAAAATCATGAAACTTCTAATACTCAAACTAAGAAAAATAAAAATATATACCATCACTTTCCTAAATATAACCCCAAAACAGCCACCTTAGATTACACATTTCATAGAGTACTCCCTGTGCAGTCAAGGAATTTTAAAGCTAGGAGAAACTTAGAGACCAAGGACTCTGATCTTTAAAAAGAAAAGAAAAGAAAAAGAAAAAAGAAAAACAAATTGATATTTGTGAGCAAGAGAGGTTAAATGACTTAACTAAGACCACATCACTAATTAACAGCAGATCAAAGACAAGAACCCAGGTCTCCTAACTATTCATTTTTTCCTTCAGCTTTGACTATGGAGGTATCCACATATTTTTCAAGTCATAATCTTTTTCATGTAGCTGTAACTTTTCTTCAAATATTTGCTTGGATGTTAATCTGCAACTCTGTGACCTTAAATAAGGGGAGAAAAAATTATTAAAGTAACCACTCAAAGAACAATGGTTTGCATGCAGTGAAAAGCAAAACATAAGGAAATTCTAACCTGTTTGAATCCCTTTGGTTTAATGATGTTATCACAGCTAATATGTGTGTCAGCTGAGTAAAAGCACTGAAAGACCTGCTTTGTAGTGATGGCCAGGTTTGAAAGGTCACAGCTCTAGCATTAAGTTTTCTACCTACTCTCCAGTGTTTGTCCGCTCAGCAAACAGAACAAGTTTTATCCCATCTTTTTCCTCCAACCTCATTTTGGAAGGACCACTTTCAAGGATAAGGATAATTCATTATTAGATTTTCAATTCTTAACACCATACTGAGATCTCCAGCAAAGGAATTTCCGCCAAATGAAACAGTATGTTCTATCAATGTTAACAGATACATGATAAAAACATGCTTCTGTTCCTTCTCCCATTCCCAAGAGTTCAATTACTCATCAAAAGTTAAATGCTCTTGGGCGCCTGGGTGGCTCAGTTGGTTAAGCGACTGCCTTTGGCTCAGGTCATGATCCTGGAGTCCTGGGATCGAGTCCCACATCGGGCTCCCTGCTCAGCAGGGAGTCTGCTTCTCCCTCTGACCCTCCCCCCCTCATGCTCTATCTCAGTCTCTCTCTCAAAAAAATAAAATCTTTAAAAAAAAAAGTTAAATGCTCTTGCACCTATAAATTCAGATAAACTAATGTTAATTCCTGTAACAGACATAAGAACACAAAGCAAACAGTCTGTAAAAAAATATCATAACCTACCACAGCTGGAAGGTACTCAAAAGTTAAAGCCCTGTATTTTAGCATAAACTCAGCACCTATACATCTTACAGGAAAACTTTCTTCTAAACCCGTCTCTCTGACATTAAGTAATTTTATCTTTTATAGAACCTAACTTTTAAAATGTTAAATTTTGGATATTCCCATTTCCTATGCAACATTTGCATTTTTAAGCAAAGAAGATAACTTCATTGCAGGATTAGAAAGAATGGTCTGTGACAGAGAAATCCTTTTAAATTAAGAAGGAGAAGAAGGAATGGGAAAGAGGAAAAAGAATGTAAGAGGAGGAGGCTGGAAGAACAAGCGAGCAAGAAGCCAACCAAGCTAAGATAGTGTACTACCACTAAGACTAAGTCAGTAACACAACAGAGACTACTTAAAACTTTGAAGAGAGGTATGTCAGAATTTAAATGTCCTGTGTCAATACTCTAGTGCTAACATCTAACCTAGATGAGACTCAAAAACCAAATGCATGAAATAATACATTAACCATCATTTAATCATGATATATTCTTAAAGTGGAACATTATGCCGAGGTTAAAAAGAATAAAACAGGGGCGCCTGGGTGGCTCGGTCGTTAGGCGTCTGCCTTCAGCTCAGGTCATGATCCCAGGGTCCTGGGATCGAGCCCCGCGTCGGGCTCCCTGCTCAGTGTGAAGCCTGCTTCTCCCTCTCCCACTCCCCCTGCTTATGTTCCCTCTCTCGCTGTCTCTCTCTCCGCCAAATAAATAAATAAAATCTTTAAAAAAAACAACAAAAAACCCCCACATCTATATGAAATATGGAAAGATGGCTAAGAGACACTAATAACTGCAAAGAGCACATGATAGTATGAACAGTATATACAGAAATATTTGTGAGTGTTGTATAGCTTTCATACCCATCAACTATCTGGAAAATTACAAAGAGGTAACTGGTTGTCGGGGTCAAGGGGACTGGAGCTGGAGGCCAGAAACATGATTTACTTTATCATAATACATCCCTTTTGAAATGTTTTGCTTTTCCCATGTACATGCATTACCTTTTTTTTTTTTTTTAATTCTAGGGTGATAAAAAACCCTACAATGATTTACAATTTAACCACGTTCTCAAAAGTGCTATAACCATAGGATTATAAAGAGCTAAGTGACTCTTGGTCCCAGGCAGGACTACACCTACACAAATCCAGACAGTTTTCTCCTTTGTTAAAGGTATTAAATTATTGGGGCGCCTGGGTGGCTCAGTCGTTAAGCGTCTGCCTTCGGCTCAGGTCATGATCCCAGAACCCTGGGATCGAGCCCCGCATCGGGCTCCCTGTTCCGTGGGAAGCCTGCTTCTCCCTCTCCCACTCCCCCAGCTTCTGTTCCCTCTCTCACTGTGTCTCTCTCTATCAAATAAATAAATAAAATCTTAAAAAAAAAAAAATTAAATTACTGAGTAAAATTCAGGTTCTTCTATGGCAACTGTAATTCTAAGTTTAAATATATAGAGAATTTGAGGGCAACCCAAACTTATTAGGCATCCTTTTAAAAATCCTATCAATCCACTCACATCAAGTTTTCCACTCAGAAATTCTCTATTTCCAAGTTAAAGTAATTGATAGAATAAACTCTCTAACTTGATGGGTTATGCCAGGATTCACTAAATTAAAACAATACATTATAATATAAATACACAATAAAGAAGTCTAGATCTAAGAAAAAAGCCTAAAAGCAAAAGTCTGGAAAAACAAGTAAGCATACATTTACTGTTACTTTTCTTACCAGAAGTTCTACAGGAAGTCATGCAAATTTGAGTCAGCTTGGTTTGTACAAACAGGCAACATGAAAGCATTACACTGCATATAAGGCTAAAACCTTGCAACAATTTTTTCCTAAAACAAATTCATCTCACTTTAACAAAGACACCTGCACCTCTCTTAAAATAACTATGAATAATCTACCAAGAGTAAAGAATTCATTCTCATGAAGAGTTAAGACATGTTCCTTACAATTTGGCTAATTAGGAATTTATTAATAATTCAAGTATTTATTAGACACGTACTATGCATCTTTAAAGTGCAGCAAGAGCAGTAAACAAACAAAAATTCTTGTCAGAGTGGATCTTGTATTTTAGTTAAAGGCAGAAAAAGATAAAATATGCCACTGTTATGGAGAAAAATGCAAGGCAGGGGAATCTAGTGCCAGAAAAGAGAGGGCTTCTAATTTTAAATAAGGCTATCAGGAAAGGCCTCACTGAAAAAAACGACATCTTATCCAAGACCTGAGGGTGTGAGCCAAACAGATATTTGAAGGAGCATTCTAGGCAACGGGATTAGCTGTTGCAAAGGTTATGAGGTGGGGCCGTGCTTGGAGTGTTCTAGGAACAGCCCTCTCTCTGACAAATAAATAAAATCTTTAAAAAAAAGGGGGGAGGGCGCCTGGGTGGCTCAGTTGGTTGGGCGACTGCCTTCGGCTCAGGTCATGATCCTGGAGTCCCGGGATCGAGTCCCGCATCGGGCTCCCTGCTCGGCAGGGAGTCTGCTTCTCCCTCTGACCCTCCTCCCTCTCATGCTCTCTGCCTCTCATTCTCTCTGTCTCAAATAAATAAATAAAATCTTTAAAAAAAAAAAAAAGCTGTATAAAAAAAAGGGGGGAGCGCTCCTGGGTGGCTCAGTCATTACGTGTCGGCCTTTGGCTCAGGTCATGACCCCAGGGTCCTGGGATCGAGCTCCACATCGGGCTCCCCACTCTGCGGGAAGCCTGCTTCTCTCTCTCCCACTCCCCCTGCTTGTGTTCCCTCTCTTGCTGTGTCTCTCTCTGTCAGATCAATAAATAAAATCTTTAAAAAAAAGAAAAAGATACACTTTAAAGTAGATTTGTCTACAGACTGGATGTGGGGCCTGTGAAAAGAGTCAAGGCCCTGAGTAACTGTAAGAACTGTACGAAGCCTAACTTAATACAGAGATTATTCAAACAACAGACCAATAAAATCCTCACAACTATCAAGGAAGAAAAGTAGGAAAATTCGTCTGTAAAATACTACTGTATCTACTGCATTCCATTTGAGGAAAAATGTATCTTAAAGACTTATTAAAGCGAACTTAACTTTGCTAATTAATCTTCTAGTTAACTGGTCTCAAACTGAAATCGTACTCATCTTTCATAACCTACTCCCAACTCATCAGAGCCTTGTGGAAATAATAGTTCTACTCTCTCTGCTACTTATCTTTGTTCATCCCTCTAGTTGCATTCATCAAACTAAAACTGTATACATCTGGCTCTTTGAATTTAGACAATTCAAATTCATGTTAGTTCCCCTCCCCTACCATATACAGTCCCAGGGAGCTGATAAGGAAAGAGGTATCATTAAATTCTACACAAATTAGGATCCAAAATATCTGTAAACAAGCTAAAAATAGCTTCTTCACTGCTAAAAAAAAGTTTCATAGTTACTCTCTTGGTTATTCCCACTTTTCCACTTCCTCATTTAAGGAGGGAACTTGAGAATCAAGTTCCAGTACAGAAATCAATAATCACTTATATAAAAAGAAATTATGACCTTGATGGTGGGAAAATATCGTAACATTTCAGAACCAGCATGAGATACATGGCCTGCCACTCAAAAAGGAAAGGAAAGCAATTAACCAACAATCGCACTGCTTCTGAGAACAGTGACCGTTATTTACTGAAGTCCTGTGGGCCCTGTTCCCACTCAAATGAAAAGGGAGTGGTTTTCAAATTTGTGTGTACCCTAGTGATTAGAAGTACCTGTCATTTTCTAGTAATTCCTACCTCTACAAATAACTATATGACAAAAATTGCATTAAATATTTTCATGCCACACTTGAAAGTATTTACTTTTCAATTCTCTACTGTTCCTCTAAAGATTAGCAATTCTCCAGTTGAATTTCTTGTCCAAAAGTGTTATTTTTCCTTCCATAAATAAAATTTAAATGAAGGTAACAGGACTATGGCCAATTTTCACTTTTTCTAAAAAATTATTCGAATACCAGTAATACCATTAAAAATCCTACCAGCACAATTCTAATATTGGGCATTAATCTTATTGAGTTCAGTGAATTTTTTTAAAAATTAAGCTAAACACTTAGCTCTATTAAATTGATTCTATTTATTCACACTTTTCATTTCCGGGCAAAGATATCGTGGCTATCCCTCTTTATGGGCTTTATGTTTAAAGATTTTAGTTTATGTGCACTTTAAGATTCCCAAGCTTCTTTATTATAAAGTTTAAGTACATTCTTCTCCTAAATAACTGTGGTAACCTCCTTTATACAATAAAAACTCTCAAATTCAGCAGCATTCCCACATAATTAAATTCTAATATTTGTTTTCTTCTTTTCTTACATCCTTCCTTTAACCTCAAAAGGCTAAGTAATTTTCCTGGAGAACAATTTAAGTCTTAATCATTTTAATTTAGTTTCCAGCATCACTATATATACATTAATCCAGAACCACTAAATTTATTATTTCATTAATAAAGAAATGTATTTGAGATTCTGAACTTCAATAGTAAAAAAGCAAATTCAGTGGTGAAAATCCAGAAAGAAAGAAGAAAGAAAAGAGGAAAGGAAAGGAAAGGAAATCCAAAAGGACACCTGGATTCATCCTGTCAACACCACTTTGAAATACTTTCTGAGCTATATCAGGACAGTTAGAATGACTGTAACAGCTGTGAGTTCCCTGAGGTTGCAAAATAGATACTTGGGAAAAGGTTATTTGAATCACCTTTCAAAATAACCTACAGCACAGGAGCAGCATGCAAAGTAAGAACTTCCCGGCTATGGTTAGCATTATTTAAAATACATGTTTTAGAGCTGAGCAGTTTATGGGTCAGCTTAACTCTTTCATTTCCCCATTTTGTCAAATGCATTGGGCATTATTTAAAAGTCCTGTTCAAATATCCACCACCACCAAGAAGGGAAGGAAGCTCTCTATGTACAGGATACAGAATAAAAACATTCCAAATTACATCTTGTCAGCATAAATTCTTTTGTTTGAGCCCCAGAAATTTTTCTGCTGTTAGGGCATTTTGGTCCAAGTTTCCCCTAAAACCTGTTAAGTTACACGTCACTTCCTCTCCTAAACTTGCTTTTTATAAATCACATTGTACTTCACAGCCATCTCTCTATGTACTGAGTATAATACAAGATAAACAGTCAAGAACCACAAATCATTCTATTTGGAGCTGCTGGTGGCCTTTTAAAATATACTGTCTACCCACTAATTGTCCAATAATGGCTTGATGTTTATTTTTGTAAAACACAACATTCGCAATCTTTAAAAAACATACAGTGAAAGCAGTTGTTTCACATTAAAACACGAAAGTGAAGTAAAAACGGTGAAATACCTCTATAATGCCATGTCAAGGGATAATTATTCTTTGCTCACCAGCTTAGTTCAACATGGATTCGCCTTCCTTCTCTTCCCACTTAAAGAATGCAAAATTTAGTCTTTCTTGTCCTCTTCCTCCAAATACTGAGATGGAGGACAATATGTCACCTCTGAATGATACTAAAATGCAGCATATCCAAGCTTACAACAAGCATTGTGGAGCTCTTTGCGCATACCATACAAACACTATCCAGGATCAAGATACTAGGAGAATCCATGTGAGTGAAAAATGTTTGATGAAGGACATTAAAATTTCATACTAATGCTATATACTTTGAAAACACAAAGTATGAGCAGAAATGGAGTAGGGTTAATTAGGACTTCCGAGGAAAGGTAAAACTTTTATAATCTGACTGTAGAAACAGTGAAGGGCCGTGGTAGCCTGATAAAGGAAAGGAGTCTTTGGTTAGATAACTCTTAGGAGGCCTTGACCATGCTGAGAATTTCAAACCAATTCAAATGCAATAAAAGCTCTCAGGAATTTAAAAGTATGAGTAGCAGTCAGGGAGCAACTCTCTGCTCAATGAGAGAAAACAAATATGCCACATTGGTGGGCATCTTCTGATCTACTGAGCAGCTCCATAATTAACAACAAGCTTCACAAAAAGAGACTCTCAACTTACTAACTCCTACCTCATAGGTGAATTATTTTTCCTAGTAAACAAATATGAGTTTAACTAAATTCTACCTGCTGATAACCTCCAAAATGAAGATCTCATTTCACTAGAAAAACAATTCTGGGTATAGTCTATGACTTAAATTTGAAGTGTTCCTCATCTAGAACAATCTAAGTTATTTGAATAATTTAAACCAATCACCAAAAGGAAACTTGTTTGTAACCACACGTGTGGAATGAAGAATAATGTCACTAGAATCTATTGTTTCTCCATCATATCCTTCTCAATTTGCTGACAAATCCTGCCGATGACTCATATCCTTCTGCACTAACCAGTCACTCTGTTCCCTCATGATAGGCTTTTCACCAATAACAGAAAGTAGAAAACATATCAATTTGTTTTGCTACTAAAAACAATAAACATCAATGTATGTATATAAACCCAATTTACAGATACTGTGATGATACAACCTAGTGAATGTCTCCTGTAAAAGACTGTAAAAAAAAGTTATGCTCAAATCTCAACTAAAACTAAAAGACTACAAGAAAGCAGACTGAATTTGAATTCCTGTCAAACGATACATTAGTTAAGAGCCAACATTTTTGACCACTGCAGAAATAAAAACACAAAGCAATTTATCTGATCTGCTAAAGCAAATATATCATGTGTTCATTTTATGCCAAAAGAATTAACATTTTCTGAGAAGAATGAAATTTCAACCCAAAAATACTATGAAAGGAATTAAATATCCCTAAAGGTAAAGACCATTCTAATCGTCAAAATATTTTTTCAAAACAGGCTCAACTAGCAAAAAAAGGGTCAGAGAAGAGCTTAAAATTCTCTAGAGTTTAAAAAGGCAATGTTGTGCAATGTAAATATATACTCAAATGATGAGATTTAGTTTCTAGGCCACTTACAATGGAGTTGATGCTGTGTTACAGAACCTATGGGTAAGAAATCAGTGCAGGCAAACAAAAAACGTTTGTATTCAAATCATATAAAAACTGCTGGTATAATCTGTCAACTCCTCATAGTCATTTTTCCCGGAAAGATTTTGTGCCCTGTCAGTCTATGTTGATTGAAGAGATAGTTCAGGGGAAACCACATTAACACGTGCAGAAGGGTAATTTTCTCACCTGGGTCCTGGTAACTCCATAGGGTAACTGTGAAAATGGACAGAGCCTGCAGTGCCGTGCAGCTTCTTTCTGAGAGGTGCTAGAGTAGTGACAGTTTCTGGTTTAGCCTAGACCTCTACAACTCCAAGGAGCAGAAAACACAAAACAAAAAAACATATCTACTTGAGCTCTACACCCAGCAATCCTATAGGGCTGCAAGTCCCAAGACAGTGGCCAGTCAAAGGAACTAGAAAATGTGGTTCAGTCAATAAAACAAAACTAGAGAAAGCTACCAGACACCTCTATACATATACTACCCCTAAAGATGAAAATCGGTAAAAGGCTCTTCTAACATCCCAGATTAACAGACTCAAATCACCATTTCCCAAGAGAATTATAATTGCTGGTATCCACTCTCGCTAACAAACCCAAGGTATAAAATTATGTGAACTGCAACTTCAGACTCTCACTTTATAAATTTAGAGAATAATCATCAGTTTCTATATAACCCAACTAGTGCCTTAAGAAAAATCTCAAAGCAACATCCCCAAAAGACCAAAAAAAAGTATGCAAGTAACTGAAGTATCCTTATTAAAAAAAAAAATACCTAAAAAATTAAAAACTAAATTTCAGACAAAAAGGCCAACTTCTTTAATGTCCACTAAACTCCTATATAATGAGCAGAGTTAACTCAAAAATAAAGTTTAGCAAGAGATTTAAGTACCTTAAGCCCCAAAGAGAAGCTTTTTTTATCTACTGCCATCTATTTACTGATATCTTTAACTTCAATTTCAAAACTTGGAATTCAACAATTGATTCTATAAATCAATCTCCTTATTTGTACAACTGAAAGTGTCACTTACTCAAAAGATTATTATGAATTTTAAATAAGATGCTTTATGATTCAGCATTATAAGACTCTCAAGGAACAGAATGTTGAAACCTAAAGCATAATGCTGGAGTTCATAAGGTGTCCTAAGACCTCAAGATATCTACCACTGCCCTACTCAATAAACATAACTAAGTCTACCATGTTGAAATTTTGGATCCTGATTTCCAGTTGCTCAAAATTTTTAAAAATCCCCAACTTTTATAAGTAGTATAGCTGATTACATAGCACTTGAAGAAACTGAGCTAACTTGGGTTTCACTCTAACTTAAGTTTTGCTCTTCCAAGAGCAACAGCTATAAATTTATGTACTGCTCTTCTGCATCTTATTTGTAAATCCTTTTTCTAGAGGCTTCACTGGTTACCAATTCCACATTCCAACAAAAAGGAACAGTACAAACCCTGTTAAGTAAACCTCTACTAAATTTAAACTTTATGTGTCAAAACTCTATAACTACTACATACAGAAATGCCACCTTTAAAAGACAAAATGTTAAATAGAATGAAGAGTTAAATCTTAAGAAAAATAAGTATTTTACCTTGCTTCACACAAATGTCTTTTCAAGGAAATATAAATATGGGGCTTTCAAACTTTTTAAGAAAGTTGTATCAAAAGCATTCATTTACTCTTCCCTAGTGCCACCACAGTTCAATGATGTTGTAAATGGTTTCTGCTTATAAATTTGGTCAGTTCAAATTAAATATTACTTGACTGACTCATGGAGGGAGTGGTTTGACTTTTGCTGTTCTGAGTCAGAATAGACCCAGTTCAGCAGTTCTAAACAATTTTTCATTTGTATAGGTGTCCTAAACGCTAGCTTTTTCCAGTTACTAAATATAACAAACTGTTGCCTTACTAAGAAGAAAGGTCTTAGTAGTAATAATACTTTGAATCTGTAGTTCAATTTGTAATTAACAAAGTGCTTCCACATCTATTTTCTCACTTGATCTTCACAATCTCCTAAGTATCTCATACAGCTGAACAGAAAGACTTTCACATAGGAGTGACAACTTCTAGTTGACTCTTACCCCAATAAATATACTCTTCCTCTTTCCCCCAAAATAAAAAACATAAAAGGCAGTTGGGTTTCTTTAATCAGACTTTCCTCTCCCAGACATATCCCAGGTGCCTCATAAAAATTATGTCTCAAAGCACACACCCTGGGGCCCCAAGAGTTTCAAGGCAGAATCCCCACCCACATAAAAGCCTAGCTTAGGCCCCAAAGAGCCTCAAGTCAGCATCTCCTAAATGATCCCCTTGCCTCCAGCCATCTAGTCTTCTGCATTAAATTCAACATTTCTCATCTGTACGAGCTGCTAGGTCACTGTGTGGTTGAGAAACCTCAAAGTGAGACAACATATTGCGAGGGTGGTAATGGTATAGTGGAAAAATCAAGGACTTTGGAGTCAGACAGACCTGGGTTTTTAATCCATCTCCAATTCTTATTATCTTGTGACCTAGGAGAAGTTACTTAACCCCTTTTGAGTCTCTATATCTCTTCATCTCATCACTGTAAATCACTGAGGGCTCATCACTGTATCCCAAGTGCCTAGCAAATAGAAACCACTCAATATGTGCCAAATAAATGCAAATGAGGACCCCTACCACCTTTAGAGTGTGAGAATTATATATAAAGGGAGTGTATAAAAATACCTGGTGCATAGTAGGCCCTTAATACTAATTAATTCAGTATCCCACTAAATATTAGTTAACAATACTATTCAGTATTTCCGAAAGCACAAAGCATGCTAATGATTGAGGAAAAGGACACTCTAGGAAAAACATAATTTCTGACTTCTAATTACATATCAATGTTTTGGCCTATAATTCTATTATGTCTACTATCAGCCGTCTTTGTTTATCCCATTGAAAGACTCCCAACTTCTAAGAAGCTTCTCATCATTAAAGTGTAAAATCCATTATCAAGGTACTTTTTATCAAGAACCCCTAATTCCACAACACAAGAATCTGGCAAAAGTCCATAATAATATACATTCACTATCCAATATGAAACAACTTTTTAAATGTCAAGATTAGAATACAGGCAAACAATCTTCACCATCTTCACCAACACAATGGTATGCCGGTAAGTAATTCTGAAGCCTTAAAAACGTGTCATTCTGTAGCCTTAATTTCCTTTTGCACACTGAACAAGGCATAACTTCATTCACTTCCTCTCTGAAACTACTCTGTAATACAGAGCATGGCAGCAAGTAACTACCATATTCTAACCCAGCAGTTTGGGGATTCCAAAGAGACAAGCTTGCCTACAGTGCTGCTAGAACGGCTAGACACTTTTTTTATGTTTCTTGACAAACTCCAGGGAATAATAAACTAGCCTCTGGTTCTTCTTCATCATCAGCGTTACATTATTTTTGTTTAGAGTTCTTCTCCAGAAGGGTAGAAAAGAGCCAATACCTAATAAAATTTTTTTTTCCATTTACCTAACCATAAAATACCTTTCACCTGAAAAACTAGCAGTACTTTACAAAAGTCTATGCTTCTGAACACTCTACAGGCAAGAGCCTAGGATCCTGGGCAATAGACAAGACTGTTTTAGTTAGCTCTCAGAGCGCCTGACGAGGATGGGATGGCGACCACGTCCTTGACAAATTTAGAAATTTATAGTCATAAACACGGGGGAAAACATTTACCCTCCCCCCCCCGAAAAAGCATGACCTTTCTTTTAAAAATCCCAGAGCCAGAAGACTCTAGTGCCACTGGCATAGACTCCTATACCGTTTCCTCATACTGGAACCCAAGAACCCAGGGACAAGACGCTCTTGGAAAGAACTCCCTCACCGAGGACACCACCGTACACAGCGATCACGATCAACGCGGAGCCTCCAGGATGCCCGCTCACACACTGGACAATCGCAGGCACACCCTTTCCACGCTCCCTCATCTGCCATTCACCCTCTCCCCAGCCTCCCTCTCTCACACTGCACTCATATTCCCCCCACACACTCCCCCACTCTACCCCATACACCCAGTGCTCTCCCCTTCCCACCTCCTCACTCTCCCCCATTTACCCTCTCGCCCACGCGCACTCCTCCCCACACCCCCACTGTCCTCTCCACTCTGCCAGCACTCACACACACACACACACTGCCCCCGGACACGGCCCCCAACTATCTCATCCACACTCCCCCCCCCAAACTCCGTCCTCCCTCACCCCACATGCACACCCAGCCCTCTCCCCAACTCACACTGTCCCCCTCAGGCACGCACATTCCCCCCACACACAATCCACATTCTTCCACACGCACGGCCCCCCCCCTTCCTCACCCACCCTCGTTCTCCACGCTTCCCGGCCGCGCTCCCCCCGCCCCCGGCCCGGCCCGGCCCTCCTTCCGGGGACGTGTCTCGGGCCTGCACTAATGGCTGCGGCGCCTCCCGCCCTCCCCTTCCCCGAGGCCCCGGGAGCCGGCGCGGGGGCCGCCCGGGAGGAGCGCACTCACGCTGGCGAGCTGGGGACTGGGCATTGAAGTCTGGCGGCGGCGGGAGCGAGGAGGCGCCTCTCTCCTCAGTCACCTCGGCGGCGGCGGCGGCGGCGGTAGCGGTGGCGGCGGCGGCGACGACTCCCCCCCAGCCTCGGCGCGCGACACC